TAGGAAGCTTACGGTTCATATGGTGAATAAAATCGGTTGATATACTCTTGTAAAACTCTGGGACTTTTTAGAAATGCCTCACTCCTATTCCTGATTCCAGGATGAATTGAGAACGTATAATTCATGGAGGAACTTGAGTGCCGGATTTTAGGCGCTAGATTAACTCGTACCCTTAGTGGTGTTTTCATTCGGAAGTTTTTAAAGAGTAGATTCGGGTCTATACTTTAGAGCACTAGATCAGTTAGGAAAACTATGAAAGAATGACTATGCAATAGATATACAACCGTAGCGTTTATCGCTGGCTTTGATATAAGCTGCTCTTTTTATCTTACCTGCTTTTACGAGTTTGGTTAATAGCTGATTTGGTTTTAGTGCGAGGTGTGCTATCTCGGGTTTTTGTTTTTTGCGTTACGATACCAGCGATTGTAAAAGAGATCGAATCAGAAGGGGACTAGGGGCTTATGACTCTAACACTTTATGAAAGAAAAACAAACTGTAGGAATATTATCGCCGTTCAATTTATTTGGAGTAGATGGTTAATTGCGTCAGTCGTTAAAGATTTGAATAGCGGTTAAAGGAATTTTTTTCAGTTCAGAACTGCGTAGCCAATTGTGTTTGCTTTATGCAAGTAATTAATGACTCTTCTGTTTTGTTAGCGTTGTAGAGAAATAGAATAAATGTTTCAGGTGCAACCGAAGGCATTCAATTATGAGAGACTTAGTCTCCTCTACGCAAACTGAATTTTACTCTGAAATCTATTTACCTCTAAAACACAAAGTGCTGGATTGATTAAAGGTGGCCAAAAATGTGCGAGTGTGTCCCGACGAAATAATCAAATTGAGGTGGTTTAGAATTGTATTCAATTTTGAACTGTCATAATTGCTTGCGGATGGTTTTTTTCAAATAGAAGAATAAGCTGATTCAGTAAAGGAAGAATGTTTTAATAAATCGTCTGTAGTGAATCGGGTTTGAGATTAGGTAACGGGACAACATTATCCGGACTCTGAAAAATAGTTCATATTGTATTAGAATAGGGTAGAG